CTGAAATTGTACTACAAGGTTCCATATCACAAAGGGAAAGCTAGAATTGAGTTTGGGGGTAATTGCCCGAAACGTTTAGGAATTGGGGGCCAAAAAGGGGCCAAAAATAAGAATTTTTCTAGTTTCCAGACAATAGCTTGTGTTCAAGTGTATGGATCTCTCTGAAATTGTACTGCAAGGTACCATACCACAAAGGGAAGGCTGGGATTGAGTTTGGGGTGATGAATCATAAGGGGGTTCAAAAAATTTGGGGGTGGATTTTTTTTTTTTTCCTTTTTTTTTTCTCTTAAAATTTTCCATTTTGAGTTGGTTATTTCTGATTTATATTTAAAAGCAAATAATGATGATATGGTAGGAGATACACACCAAACAGGATGTGTAAATTATTATATAATAAGTATTGTGCAATAGCAAGAAATTTTCAATTGCACAGTATTGCACAATAGCAAGAAATCTTCAATTGCACAGTATTGCGCAATAGCAAGAAATCTTCAATTGCACAGTATTGCGCAATAGCAAGAAATATCCAATAGCACAATATTGCGCAATAGCAAGAATTTGTCAATTGTACAGTATTGCGCAATAGCAAGAAATATTCAATTGCACAGTATTGTGCAAAAGAAGATACTTCGTATAAATTGCTTATTTCTTGACCAATTTCAATGGGGTTTTATTCTTGAATTCCTGGGGTTCTTTAATATGCTGAATCTAACCGTGTATTAAGTTTTTGGATTTTGGGCCCCGTTTTTAAATTGGTCCACATTGAGGTCCAAAGGGTCCAAAATTAAACTTTGTTTGATTTCATCAAAAATTGAATTATTGGGGTTCTTTGATATGCCGAATCTAACCGGGTATTTAGATTCTTAATTTTTGGTTCCGTTTTCAAATTGGTCTACATTAAGGTCCAAAGGGTCCAAAATTAAACTTAGTTTGATTTAAACAAAAACTGAATTCTTAGGGTTCTTTGATATGCTGAATCTAAACATGTATTTAGATTTTTGATTATGGGCCCAGTTTTCAAGTTGGTCCAAATCGGGGTCCAAAATTAAACTTTGTTTGATTTCAACAAAAATTGAATATATAGGGTTCTTTGATATGCTGAATCTAACCATGTATTTTGATTTTTGGGCCCCGTTATCAACTTTGTCCACATTGAGGTCAAAAGGGTCCAAAATTAAACTTTGTTTGATTTCATCAAAAATTGAATTCTTGGGGTTCTTTGATATGCTGAATCTAACCATGTATTTAGATTTTGGATATTGGACCATAATAAGTGAATGTCCAATTTAAAATTTTTAAGTTCTTAGACCACATTCATTCTGTGTCAGAAACCTATGCTGTGTCAAATATTTAATCACAATCCAAATTCAGAGCTGTATCAAGCTTGAATGTTGTGTCCATACTTGCCCCAACTGTTCAGGGTTCGACCTCTGCGGTCGTATCAAGCTGCGGAGCATTTTATTAATATAATAGGCTAAAATGCCAAAAATTGGTAAAAATCGTCATCAAAGAACAATAACTCTGATAACAAGTCGACTGACGATTCAGCATTTTTGACTTATTTGTAGATCTTGTCTTGCTAATCTTTTTTGCTATTTGGAGTGTCCATCTATCTATTATAGTTTTCCAGATAAAAGGCAAAAACACTAAAAATGGTATAAATCGTTATTAAAGAGCAATAACTCCAATAACCTGTCGACTTAAAAATTCCTGCATAAGACTTATTTGTATATCTTGTCTTGCTGATCATTTTTGCATTTTAAAGTTTTTATCTATCTACTATAGTTTTTATGATTTTAGACGATAACGCAAAAATTTGGTTAAAATCATCATTAAAGGGCAATAACTCTAATAAGGAGTCGTCTGATGATTTGAGCCATTTTATTTATTCGTAAATCTTGTTTTGCTGACAATTTTTTGCTCTTTAAAGTTTCTATCTTTCTATTATAGTTTATAAGATAGTAAGCAAAAAAAGAAAAAAATGGTAAAATTCGTCATTTAAGGGCATTTACGCCTGTAAGAAGTTGTCTGAAAGTTATGTCGGCCATGTTGGTTAGCAGGCAGGGTCCTCCAGACACTTTTATTTAACAAGATACCCTAATGATGATTGTGGCCAAGTTTGGCCCAGTAGTTTCAGAGGAGAAGATTTTTGAAAAAGTTAACGTTGACTGATAAGAAATATGAAAAGCTCACTTAGCCCTTCGAGAGAGGCGAGCTAAAAAGTGCCTCCCATGCTTTTAATTCTGGAACAACCTGAATTATCTCCAATGTTTTTTTATTGCAGAGTGGCATCAATTTTATACCCCACAGAACAAAGTTCTGTAAGATATAATGTTTTGACCCATCTGTCCTTTAGTCCTATTCTTGTCATCGCAAACCACACAACAGAATTTCATGAAACTTTGTAGATCATGAGGACATATGTAGATGTGCAAATCGACAGGAAATTATGATTCAGATTTTTTTCTAGGATTTATGCCCCTTTGAACTTAGAATTTTGGCCTAAATATACTACTGCAACTGTTTTTCATTGCAACTCCTCTGAAACCACACAACAGAGTATCATGAAACTTTATAGATAATAAGGATATAATTTGTAAATGTGCATATCCACACAAAAATTTTATCAGTTTACTTTTGTATGTGTTGTATCTTTGAGATTTTGTTTGCCCACTGACAATGTGGGACCGTGGGGTATGTGAGTGTGCTCACAAAGATTCTTTAATATTTCTAGAAATCTGACATGAACAGATTAAGATTTTTTCCCCATTTGTCATATTTAATCAACCTTTTTTTTTTACAGGAAGATGATGAGGCTGAAGCTGAAGAAGGCAATGAGTAATAATCATAATATTAATATCCATAAACAATACACAGAAATATGTCATGTCATTGATATAGCAAATAATAAAAAATACCAATAATGAATGATTTACATTTAATGATCAGCAGAATTTTGTCAAAGCAGTGTGCTATTAAAAGTGGTACCCATACCTGACATGACCAGAGAATTTACTGACCAACTTCAAATAACCAGTATTTCAGTATCTGATCCGGTTTCACCAGAATTTTAGTTGAGACTTTTGGTGTTTAAATAGAAATATTTTCCTCTGAAATACTGTCAAATTTTATGTTTATGAATCACGAATTATGATCTGATATTTTTCATTCAATGCATATTATGCTTTTCAATTTTAGAGGTTGACAGTTATGGTATCCCTTAATATTTGACATTTAGAATTTACTCCTCTTTAATCATCTGAAAAACAGGAGAAATAATGGGAAAAAAGTAAAAAGGACATATGGCTGGCATGGTATTGCACCTACTTTAATGATCACCTTTATTTCGAAGGAAAAACAGGTTATTGATTTGGGGATGTATGGCGGGCAGTCGGCTGCCAAACAGTGTCTGTTCATTAACATGAAAACGCTTTTATGAAATCTTTTAAAATTTAGATATGTTGTTTCCTGTGACTAAATGAAGGTCAAGTTCAATTTTCACGATTTTAGCTTTTCTCTTTGAGTTCTAGCCCTTTTCCAGTAGCCAAAAGTGGTACTTATTATGTGATTGAGTTATTTCCCTTTGAACAGAAATGGTTAATTATATATATGAAGTTTGATTACACTTACAGATAAGTTGTATAGATTTTTAAAAGACATTGTATTAACGATAAATGACATTTTGGATTTTTTTCTTTTCTTTGGTCAATTATTTGAAGAATTTTGCGGTAGGTTTGTTCGTTATTCTGTATTAACTAATTTTCTGAATGCTATATATATATATATTTTTTTTTGATGAAGTGAACTCCTTTAAAAACTAAGCTTATATTGTCTATTAACAAACATACATTTAGATTTCTGATTTTGGGCAGTTTTTTCAAGTTGGTCCAAAATTAAACTGTGTTTGATTTCAACATAAATTGAATATATATAGGGTTCTTTGAAATGCTGAATCTAAACCTGTATTTATTTTCATTATTAATTAGATAATACCACATTGAGGTCCAAAGGGTCCTAAATTAAAAAAAAATTTAATTTCATCAAAAACTGAATTCTTGGGGTTCTTTGATATGCTGATTCTAACAATGTTTTAGTGGTTAAATCATTTCTAATTTTATTGATTATAATTTGAAAATAGATATAACATCATATCTTATTGTAGAGAACTATTATAAAATTAATAAGTATATGGATAAAATTAAACTGTTTCATTTCAACATAAATTAAATATATGTAGGGTATTTTCAAATGCTGAATCTAAACCTGTATTTAAATATTGGATTTTTGGGCCCAGTTTTCAAGTTGGTCTAAATCAGGGTCCAAAATTAAACTTTGTTTGATTTCAATAAAAATTGAATTTAAAATTGAAATTATGTTTTTTTTTTGAAATGCTGAATCTAACCATGTATTTAGAGATTTTGGATTTTGGGCTCCTTTATCAAATTGGTCCACATTGAGGTCCAAAGGGTCCTAAATTAAACTTTTGTTTGATTTCATCAAATATTGAATTCTTGGGGTTCTTTGATATGCTGATTCTTACAATGTACTTAGTTTTTGGATATTGGACCATAATAGGTAAATGTCCAATTTCAAATTTTTAAGTTCTTTGACCACATTCATTTTGTGTCACAAACCTATGCTGTGTCAAATATTCAATCACAATCCAAATTCAGAGCTGTTTTAAGCTTGCATGTAGTATCCATACTTGCTCAACTGTTCAGGGTTGGACCTCTGTAGGAAATCCGGTTTGCTGTCACTCTGACAACCTCTTGTTTATTAGTTCAAAAGGAGATAGAATGAATGTATTAGAGACAATATTGCATGCAAAACTGGAGTTGATCATGTATCAAAGGGACATAACTAATCCAACAAAGAAGATTTAAGATGGTTTGACAGTCCCAACAAAACCTTTCTTTACAAAAATACCTTTCATTCCACCAAAACTTTTATATTTTATAGGACTTATAAAATAAAACATAAGTAATCATAATAATAATATGAAAGCTTATTATGTTTATTTATACAATATCTGATATAAAAATAATCATATATACATGATAAAACTTGTCAAGATTACATAATATAATTAAAATGGCACAAGATGATTTCTTTCTTATATACACTGTTTTGTAGATTACAGAAACTAAATAACTTTGCAAAACAGTTTGATTAAAAATGAAGACCTCATAAAAATTGTTAATAATTACTGTGAACAAGAGGCCATAAAATAATCTTTCTTGAGACAAAATGTAAAAGTGATATTTCTCTTATTAGTTAAAGTACACTTATTTCTCTTTTTCTATTAATTAGAAAAAATAATATAATTACAAGAAACATGAGATGCTGTATGATTTTTACATAGTTATAGTTTAAATAAAGTCAATGGACAGATCCAGCAGCAGGCTGACTTTTTAATTTCGTAAAACTGGCATTTTAAATAACTTAAGATTTAGTTCTCTCTGTATACAAGAATTTATGAAAAATGATGAGTATATGTGGTGAATGTAAGATAATGAGTTATTGTATTTAAAATCACCAAATTTACCTTCTGATATGTTTTGCCGATAAGTTTCCAAAATTTTACTGGAATTGGTACTCCAGCTGCATAGCATTTTAATGTACAAATTTCAGCCACCAAGATATATATTCTGACACCTTAACTGTACTAGTCAAAAAATAAAAAGAAGGTACTGGTAGAGGACAAATTTACAAACTGGTTTAAAGATAAGAGAATTTTATTTCCCTTACATAATGCTTTTATATTGTCAGATACAAAAATTGTGATTTGAGTGTCATTATATGTACATGTATGTATAAATGCTTCCAATAAACAAATGAAAATGAAATGAAATTTATACACATGCATATATACAATATCCTGATATCAATATTTAAAATTTTTTAAATGTTTATGATGAAATTGTGAAGATGACTCCTGTTGCTATTGACAACAATCCACCAACCAAACTGAAGGCAAAGCTCCATGATAAGTTGACAGAAGCTGCTTGCATCCTTCTTGGTTTCTGTACATCTTTTAGTGATCCAAATACAATACAGGCAATAATGATAAGTACACCTGAAAATACATGTTAGGTTAGAAGTAAATAAAAACATAAATCTTATTCTGGCCACTTAAATTATGTGGTGTTTCTTCGAAGGCTGCAATGGACATGAACATTTTATAGCTGACTATGCGTTATGGGTTTTGCTCATAGCTGTAGTTGTAAACTTCTATGTCATTTGGTCTCTGGTGGAGAGTTGTCTCATTGGCAATCATACCACATCTTCTTATTTTTACATGTCTAATTAATATTCAGACAACATGTACGTATTTTGTCAAACTTTTTACAATGTACAATGTATAAAACTGCCAAAACACAAGAGTTCATTTATATTATGCAATATGAATCAGCTGTCCCCATTCTTTTGTATACTGATAAAAAATGTTAAGGATCACATACAAATTTAAGATAGTGTATTTAAGTTTCCACTAGCAAATATGGACTTGATAGCTCAGCCAAATGTAACAAAGTTTGCATACTGTTTACATGTTAATGCCAGATCATTTTCAACCATTTATTGACAAACATCAACAATTACAGTAATTTGCCAAGATTAATAGGAGTCAAGATTTTTTTGAAGGAGTTGATTGATTTGTAAACACAACTGACTCATTCATATTATTAATTAAGTCTGAAGTACTTAATATTAAGTTTTATGAGTGACAAACAGTTTACACATTAATGAACTCAGTAAAATTGACCTTTGATACTTAAAATTCCAATAAAATACACTAAAAATTATCCTACGATCAAATATTTCATGAACAGTTACAGAACCGTTTTGATTTGTAGGAATTAATACTGGTGATGTAATGAAACATGTTCATACATTTTGGATGCCATGACACACACCACCAAAACAAGACATACATGTAAAATATAACATTGGTATTATAACGGGAATATCTCCTCCATTTTTTTGTACTAAGCACAAAGAAGCATGGAGTACATGTAATGTATGCCATTAAAACTCAACCCAAACACAATTAAACCAGGAAGTAAGCTAGAGTATAATATGCATCTGTATCAGGATTATTTTTAAAAGTTCCTACAGAGATGATCAAATGAAACTGGTGCATATGTTTCTTTCAAATTTTGTAAGAGCACTTTAAATTTAGATAGACTGACAAAAGAATGCCTTTTGTATATGATTATTGCACATTATTTATTGTAAAAAGGGAAAAACCCAACACCTAGCTCTTATTTATCTCTCCGGCCTGTAAAATGTCCATTTCACTTAAACAGTACTTTTAGTAATTCATGCAATAGTGCATGAAGCTTGAAGTTTTTATTTTTTTGTAAAAGCATCCATTTAACTTACCACTGAGGAAACCCAAAACAAGGGCCAAAACTTTAAGATTCTTTTTATGATCTTCTGTGATGAATTTAGCAAACAGGTACAATAAAGCAAATGCTATCATTATCATCATTGCACAGAACGATAGTACTTCTGTTGTCTGTACGTAACGAAACCAATCTAAAATTAGGAAAATATGTAACTTAATAAATAGTGATGTGTGGAGTATCTTGGTTAACATCAAAAGTGTTTTGCATGTAAATAAGTAAAAAGTGGTCAAAATAAACAGACCACAAAGATATAAACAACTTAATAAACAAATTATAAAGAGAGTGACAACCAAAATGTTTGTATTCCTACATTGTTTTTAAAATGTATATATTACTGTGTGTTTGTTTATTCTATATTGGCTAGAGGTATAGGGGGAGGGTTGAGATCTCACAAAACATGTTTAACCCCACCCCTTTTTCTCGCCTGTCCCAAGTCAGGAACCTCTGGCCTTTGTTAGTCTTGTATGTTTTTTTAATTTTAGTTCATTTATATGTTTCAGAGTTTAGTGTGACGTCCATTTTCACTGAACTAGTATACATTTTTGTTTAGGGGCCAGCTGAAGCCTGCTTCCAGGTACAGGATTTTCTCGCTGTGTGGAAGACCCATTGGTGGCCTTGGGCTGTTTTCTGCTCTTTGGTCGGGTTGCTGTCTCTTTGACACATTTCCATTCTCAATTTTACATGTAGTGATGTACCACTACAGTTGTCTATGAATAGATCCATATCTTTCTACCAGATGACATCTTTTTGTTTTTACCAGTGTTTTATTTTTTATGTAAAACTTCATGTATTATTTTGTGACATTTATAGTCTTGACTTTTGTTTATCATATATATGAAATAATGGAGAAAAAGTACATGTACATTTTATAGATTAAAAACAATAACCAAATGATCAACTCCATTTTTTTTTACTATACAATGGAAGAGAACTGGGTTTTCGTCAATTCTAATTTTTCTTGCAAATCATTACTATCACACTGTTTAAATTTTAATTATATAATATCCTTCCAGTTCTTATATTCCAAAATCATTTGAACTATTGTATTGTTTTCTTTTTTTCTAAATGATTTTTGACCCAGATAGTGTAACAGTAAATTCAGTCCGGTAGTAAAATTTGTCTGCCAGACTTTTCTTCGTACATGTAGGTAATCAAGTCTGTGACCATAATTTTACTAGGAATGTAAGTCCCTGGATAAATTTTCCTAGGAAAATACCGGTAAGTCCATAGCTAGTAAAATATGTCTGGCACTTATTTTCCTAGGAAAAGTTTTGTATATCCGTATTCTCATTTTTTTCTATGTAAAAGGTCATTTTAAAATTTTATTTCTTAAGACATTCTTTAAAATTAATCAATATTAAAATTAAGAAAGGAACATTTGTAATTACTGTATGTACATCATAAAAGTCTGTGATATCAATTTTCCTGAAAAAAAATCTGTTTAATTATTAAAAAAACACCCATATTTTAATAAAATAGTGAATTATTAATGCACAACTGTTAAACAATTTAAAAATAATATCCAAATTAAAAATTCCATTGTTTACATATAAATAATTTCTTTCATTACAAAATTTCTCATAAAAATAAAGGACATGGATGTTTTTACCTAGTAATATTAATGCCCTGGACATGAATGGCTAGGAAAATTAGTCTGGGCACATAAATTTTATTAAGAGATTAACATGATTAATGCACAACTGTTAAACAACATTAAAACATAAGAATTAAAAATTCCATTGTTTACATGTAAATGATTTCTTTTATTGAACATTTTCCTAGTCAAATCAAGGACATGGACATTTTTACCTAGGAATATTGATGAAATGGACATAAATTCCTAGGAAAATTAGTCTGGGGGACATAAATTACTGACATCAGACTAAATATACTAGTAAATTCTGTAACCATGGACTTTTTATACTATTAATATTTGTCCGCCCGGTTACTTTTTACCAGGACTAATTTATCTCTTACAGTTGCTTCCTCCGTTGCCTCATTGCAAGCTACACCACTGAGTAAATTGAAACACTTTCAAACTCCCCACTCCTGGAAGTTGTTCCTAATGTGACCATTAAAATAAAACAATAGAGTTTCAGTGTCCCCTCTGTTCCACATATTTTAATCGGTCTAAGGACAATAACTAAAATTATTATTTAATTTTTTTTGTTCTTTAAAACTTTAAAATGACAGAGAAATGTAGGCTTGGGAGCACTTACATGTACTTTGTAGTTTTCCATATATAATGAATACTTCCAAGGTGCATAACTCTTTTAAAAATAGTTGATTCACACTGATTTTCGAACTTGTCCAAGACGATGCTGATATAAACCTTTGAAATAAATTTCATAAATAGCTGGCAAGGATTGTACACGTTAGAATGCTAACAATGCAATTTTCCATAGCATAAATATTACCAAGCCTGAAGGGGCATAACGTTTTAAATAATAATTGATCAGCACTGATATTTTTACCTTTACAGACATTGCTGATATATACAGAATACCTTCTATATATATTTCATATCAATCCTTAAGAAATGTAGGCTTGAGAGCGCTAACAATGCAATTTTCCATACAATTCAAATTTTTCTTTAAAAATAGTTGATCGGCACTGACATTTTAACTTGTCCAAGACATTGCTGATACAACTAAAATCTTTTACATAAATTTGATAAAAGTCTGGCAAAAACTGTTCATGTGAATACAATACAATGTAATTTTCCATTCATATATTTCCAAGGGGCATAACTCTTTTGAAAATAATTGATCAGCTCTGATTTTCGAAATTGTATGAGACATTGCTGATATGAACCTTTGTTATACAATTGATGAAAAATTGGCACGAAATGTAGGTGTGATAGGGCAAACAAGGCCGAACAGACAGACACCCTGTATTTCTATGTCCCCTAAAATGTGTCATGTGATGTCAATTAAGCAAAAATAAAGTCTATATGTTCAGTCCACAAGTATATACTTAAGCTAGTCTTACTGATAAAAATACTTACGACTGACTTGTGGATCTGACCAGATAAAACCTTGGCATTCAAAATCTCCTTTCCCTAATCTAACATCAGCACACTTCTCCCACAAACCATTATACTGAATGGTGCCATGAGCATCTGTTACTGATACAGCCCAGTGGTTGGTGGCCATGCCTATTGTGTGGAAGAGGAAGGCTGCTAGCAGAACAACACATCCCGCTTTAAACAGAGAAGAGATGTCCTCCAATTTCAAAGTATCTAAATCTTCTTCACCACCCATTATTATTTACACTTCCGGACTTTTGTTTACTAACTGCAATGAACAACTTCAAATATAAAAAGGAGTTCAGGTAAACAGTAAAAACGGGAACAATTTATTGAGAGTAATACTTATATTATGCAATATTATTTTTATACCACAAAATGATACCTTTGTCTGTGTAATCAGTCAAATATTTCAAATTTTCTATATCGTCGCCATTTTTGAAATACCTGTATTTACAACATGTCAATTTCACCTGTGCGTTTGATTACTCACCTGGACACACCTGAATGAATTTGAAATAAGGGAGACTACTAACTCTTGTCGTTGAGCCTGACTTGTGTTTCGAAAATTAACAATGCAGCCCAATAAACATACATTGGGGGTTGGACCCCTTATTTTCTATATATTTTGTTTTAATGTTTTTTATCTTATTTTCTCACTCATTTAAAGTGTCTCTTCTTAAAATTAACTTCTGTGGGTCATCCTAAGGGATTAAGCTGCAGTGGAAATCTAGTCCATTTCATCCACAGGCACTTGTTTCTGTCAATGGGGGCTTTACTATCCACACTTGTACGATTTTATGCATTTGAATAATTATTTACAGTCTAGTCAAAAGTTAAACTAAAGAAAATTTCCAAAATTTCATCTTTTAAATTATTATTTTTAGTGATCATAACTGTAAGTCATTTTAGTGTCTGTAACTGTAAAATCATATTTATGTCTAGTGCTATATTTTTATATCATTTTACTGTATTGTCCGTCTGTCAATTTTATGCCTTTTATCTTGAATACATATGTATATTCTTCTCACCCATACGATTTTACAATAGATGTAGTTTAATCAATTTGATGCCCCTCAATTCTTATTTTTCACGTAAAAAATAAGAATAGAACGGAATCATATATTTTAAAAACTACATGCAGTGTTATTGTAAAATCGTATTGATAAGATTAAGAACACATTAAATTAGTGTACATTAGTTAAAATATTAAGGAATATTTACAAAAAAAAAAGTAAAAAACAGAAGAATAATATATATGTAGAAAAAGGGAGTCAGTCTATTCCTAAAGTGTCTGTGGTCCAAAAAATTATATAAATCCATATGCGGCCGAAGCAAAGATAGGTCCAGGATATAAGGCTACCAGTGGCGGATTCAGAAGGCGCGCGCGTAGAGGGTATATGCCTTCTTTTAAAAAAAAATGTTTTTTGGAATAAAATCGTTAAAAAATTGACTTGGTACGTTTGGCGATCAATTTTAAATAACATGATAATAATGATGCAAGCCCTTACGCCGCCCTGCACCCCCTGCCTATGATACTGCATTTCTACGTTTGGCACACAGGCACTTGTAGTATTTACCCCAGTTTTTCCCTTTGATTTTGTGTATAATTTTTTTGTGTGTACATATTCTTTAATATTCTAACTTATTTTAACTTATCTTATGTGTTCTTGTTCTTATACACAAGATATAAAATAACAGTAGTCTATATATATGCATCTTCTCTATTCTTATTTTCCATAATAAGATTGAAATAGCAAAATAAGAATACTGTTAGAGAGCAGTATAGATAAACTGAAAAAGGAAAATAAAAATGATTGGGTCGATCCCATCTAGAATAAGAGGGTAGCATATATAAGCTACTGTTATTGTAATATCGTATGAATAAAGAATGAAGCGCAGCATATATAAACTACTGTTATTGTAATATCGTTTGAAAAAGAGCAAGAACACATCAAATAAGTGGAAACATGTTGAAGTATTAAAGAATATCTACTAAACAAATTAAACCACAAAAAGGGAAAAGCAAACAACGGGCTCCATGCCTAAAGCGCCTGTGATTCGGTGCGGACACTGTCCCCTGCATTGTAATTCTAAAATAACTATTTTTAAAAGCTAACATTCGTATTATAGAACTATATAGCTGGTTCACTTTTGGATTTAGATTTAATGTAACCTTTTCTTTTTCAACTTATTCGCTCCTCAGTTTATTTCTATTAAGCCTCGAATTGACCAATGCAAATAAAACGTTTTTTATTCCTTTTAGGGTAACAATTTTAAGCAGTGTAAATGCATTTTATAAATTAATGATAATAAGTAAAGGTGGATTACTTGAATATAAATCTTTAAAAAGTTCTCACGTATTGCATTGAAACAGTATGAATAAACAGACCGACATTCTGGAGCTGTCGTTTCCATATGGAGTAAACGTCGTTACCATATGGAGTAAAACCACAATTGATACCTGTCGTCTTTACTCCACGATTGATACCTGTCGTCTTTACTCCACGATTGATACCTGTCGTCTTTAATCCCTGATTGATACCCCAGTGTCGTCTTTACTCCACGATTGATACCTGTCGTCTTTACTCCACGATTGATACCTGTCGTCTTTAATCCCTGATTGATACCCCAGTGTCGTCTTTACTCCACAATTGATACGTCTTTACTCCACGATTTATACCTGTCGTCTTTACTCCACTATTGATACCTGTCGTCTTTACTCCACGATTGATAACTGTCGTCTTTACTCTACTATTGATACCTGTCATCTTTATTCCACGAATGATACCTGTCGTCTTTACTCCACAATTGATACCTGTCGTCTTTACTCTACTATTGACACCTGTCGTCTTTACTCCACGAATGATACCTGTCGTCTTTACTCCCAATTGATACCTGTGGTCTTTACTCTACTATTGACACCTGTCGTCTTTACTCCACAATTGATACCTGTCGTCTTTACTCCACGATTGATACCTGTCGCCTTTACTCCACTATTGATACCTGTCGTCTTTACTCCACAATTGATACCTGTCGTCTTATTCCACGATTGAAACCTGTCGCCTTTACTCCAGAATTGATACCCGTCGTCTTTACTCTTCTTTTGATACCTGTCGCCTTTACTCCACAATTGATACCCGTCGTCTTTACTCTTCTTTTGATACCTGTCGCCTTTACTCCACAACTGACACCCGTCGTCTTTACTCAACGATTGATACCTGTCGCCTTTACTCCACAATTGATGCCTGTCGTCTTTACTCCACGATTGATACTTGTCGTCTTTACTCTACTATTGACACCTGTCGTCATTACTCCACTATTGATACCTATCGTCTTTACTCCACTATTGATACCTGTCGTCTTTTCTCCACGATTGATACCTGTCGTCTTTTCTCTACTATTGATACCTGTCATCTTTATTCCACGAATGATACCTGTCGTCTTTACTCCACGATTGATACCTGTGGTTTTCACTCCACAATTGATACCTGTGGTCTTTACTCTACTATTGATATCTGTCGTCTCTACTCCACGAATGATACCTGTCATCTTTACTCCACGAATGATACCTGTCGTCTTTACTCCACAATTGATACCTGTGGTCTTTACTCTACTATTGACACCTGTCGTCTTTACTCCACAATTAATACCCGTCGTCTTTACTCTTCTATTGATACCTGTCGCCTTTACTCCACAATTGATACCCGTCGTCTTTACTCTTCTATTGATACCTGTCGTCTTACTCCACGATTGATACCTGTCGCCTTTACTCCACAATTGATACCCGTCGTCTTTTCTCTTCTATTTATACCTGTCGTCTTTACTCCACAATTAATACCTGTCGTCTTTACTCCACTGTTGATACCTGTCGTCTTTACTCCACAATTGATACCTGTCGCCTTTACTCCACAATTGATACCTGTCGTCTTTACTCCACTATTGATACCTGTCGTCTTTACTCCACTATAAAGATCGTACATTGCCACATAATCTAAAGACGTATATTGTTAAATAAAAACTAATAATTACATTACACGTCTGTTTCATTATAATACGTTATTTTGATTGGGTAACAGCAATCTCGCATTATTCTGAAATTAACCTTCATTTCAAAATGAAATGTAACATTCATGATGACACGAGCTTCCACAATAAAGTGCACATGTAAATTAAAGAAAAACTTGATAGAAATCGTGTTTTCATGATCCTAGCAAAAAAATGTAATTATAAGTATTGAATGCTTCTTTTAGTCATCTTATAAGTTAGTAAAAGCGTTGACCGTGCGCACATTTTTATAATGAAGCGCTTCATACAAAATGTACTTCGGTCAACGCTTTTACACCCCAATAAATTTACAAAAAGAAACATTCAATTCTTAAACAACACAATGACATGGGCATATTTTATTCTTGCACGTACTAAATGTTTACTTTTTCAATTGGAGAAATATTGAAAAACCAAAGTAGATTTTGTAAGTTTCATTCCTATGCAAATAAATCTCTGATGAAATTATCCACCATTGTTTTCCCGGTTTGATTGATTTATAGTGTGTGCTCAATACTGAAGGTGAACATTGAGATAGTCCAAATAATTGTGAAATCTTTAAAGGCTATTTTATTTTTTGATGTGACGCCACAGCAAAAACAGAAATAGCATTTCAAAACGTCATAATTATTTGGACTAACACTGAGGATGATATTTTGAACCCTGAAATTAGACTGAACAAGCGAAACCTTTTTGAAAAGAAATGGGGATATGAAACACAAAATTAATCGTCGTGTGATGCAATATTATCGTATGACTCATTTGTTAATAGTGGTATAAGTTTCAATTAACCTTTGGAGTCCCTCTTGCCATCTAAAGGATTTTGGTATCGGGCATGGGCATGCATGATCCGGTTAGACATTTTCATATGCCTATGACGACAGGAAACCTTTTTGAGAAGGGGTCATCTCAATGTGTACAACGACCACAAGCATTTGTGTAATATTTTTTTCTAATTTACATTTGTTTTGAATGATTTGCTTCTTAATTGGCTCTGTTTAGTAGCTGAGAATTGACCGATCTTAATATTGTACGTTGTAAAACAAAGGGTGTGTGTGTAAATGAGTAGAACATTTACTCCGGTTTAAAATGGAATTAAGAATTAAATTATAAGAAATGACTGTAATATTTTTTTCTGTCTATTCGAAATAACATAAAAAATGTGGTGCACACTGTAAAATAACGCGCTACGCGGGTTATTCAGTGTGCACCACATTTTTGATGTTATTTCTTCACAGACAGAAAAAATATTACAGTCATTCCTTAATTACACCAAGAAAACGAATCAATTTCTTATGAATTTTGTACCTGGGTGTAGAATTGAAAAATTCTTATAAAACTTCCACTTCACATTTCAACACCGATGTTGCTGCGCGTCAAATATATATTTTTGTTGGAGGAGAGGGAGGGGGTATAACAAATTTTTTTTTAAGCTTGCTTATTTAG